TTTTTTTTTTTTTTACTTGTATTAAAACTGCTTGCTGTTAATGGTAATTGTTCAGTGCAATAGCGTGTGTCACTGTGCATTAATTGTTATGTTTATATTGTGTTATGTAAATATAAGGTAATTGTTGGGCAAATTGTATAAATTGGAATTTGAATTATTACAGACATGTTTAAGAGCTCATTTGAGCCTCATTTTTATTTATTGAAGAATACATTTTGAAATAGTAGATTGATGGAGAATGTATGAATAAAAAATAAGGAAAAATTTTGAATTTGCATGTAATATTATTTTATTGAAAAATGTAGATTAAAAAAAAAATGTACTCTGCAAATAATGGGTATCAAACAAGGGCCCAAGTGTATCTAAAATTAAATAGTATGGCATTGATTACACAAATTTTATTGATTCTAGACTAAGTCCTCAAAGGGGTAATTATTGCCACTACAAGTTTTTTTAAATGTATCACGTTTTTCTTCTTTATTTAAATAACATTAAGTAAAATTACATAATTAGAGTTTTGGGTTAATGAACCATTACTATGTACTCAATTTATGGTAATGATTTTGGGTTAATGAATCTCCAGTATTCAACTATCCAAGTGGATATACAGTGGAAACCATTACTTCATTTGTGGTGTGCTTGGCCATTGCAGTGGTGGAATGAAATTTCAAGTCAACATTGCAGCCATAGTTGGAGGCGGAGCAACCACGACGACATCGTCAAGAACCACTACTTCACCATACAACACTACAGTTTCACCGGCAACCCCCAACGCTATAACGACACCCACTGCACGCAGTGTTTCTCAATAGGGTTTACCTTCCCCATTTCTTCTTCTTTATCTTCCTCTTCTTTTAAAAAAAAAATTAAGAAAGAAATAGTTTCTTTTCTTTCATAATGAAAATTTTCAGAATGAGTTGAAAGGATGAGGAAAACGAAGAGTAATATATTGGGATAATGAGTGCATTACATTACTTTATTATTATTATTTTTTATTGGATTATGAGTATATTTGTAAATTTGGTGTGATATATTTATTAAAAATATATTTTAATTGTGGTATGATTATAATGTGGTGTAATAAGTAAACTTTGTGGTGGTAATATAATTATTCGAACTTAGATTGTAAAAAATTATGAGGAATTTAAAATGTCCAATTATATGCTTGTCAATTGAAGATTGTCTAATTTTAATAACTTTTGCAAAAATAGCCAAATTTGATACAAATTGCCTATTTCACCCTTAATAAAAAATGAAACAATTTATTTTTTTTTCAAATTGTCACAAATTTCGATATGAACAAGTAGTTTAAATATGAAGCTACATTAATACTAACTAATACCTAACGGATTCATTTGCTTTCATTATCTATTAGGTATTGATCAATGATTTTGGAAAATAATGGAGAAGATGAAGTAAGAAAGCCATTAACATTAAAAATAAATATATGTTTCCAATTCATAAGAAAATAATATGATTTCATTTCGAAAAATTTAATCTCATTCAAATTTGCAAGTTGATTAGACTCTCCACAATTCTCGATAGAAGATAATTTTTAGTTGAAATCTTCTTTTGTTGATAAGTTGTGTTTAATAGTTAGTGTTCTTGACATTTTATGATGTTTTCGACATTTTAAAAGTTGTTACCGACATTTGGACCATATTTATCTCGACACTTAACACTTCATTTGTCTAGAACGAGATTTCGTTCCGAGCATAAGAGTTCTATATATTTCATAAAATTCTTGACATTTTAAGTGTAGTTCTCGACATTTGATACATGTTAATCTCGATGCTCAATATTTCATTTGTCGGGAACGATGGTCCAATTATACGAGTTGGGTCACGTGGTTTGGGTCGGTTTTCATAGGTCTTATGGGTGGATCGAGTAATGAGTTTATAAGTCATGCTACTTGTACACTGGGGTTGATACTTCGGTGTACAGCCCCCCTCACCAAAGGGGGCTCACGATTTTTTTATTGGTCGTGGGCCCCCCTCTTGTGAGGGAGCGGTACATCAAGGTGTCAACCCCGATGTACAAATAGCATTTTTCATATTTTATTTACTCACGAGCATTTAATGCATAATTGACATAATACTTTTTAAAATAAGTAGTATAAGTTATGTGTCAGGTTATTATTTGTCAATACAATTTTTAATTATATAAATAATTTTGTCATCATTGTTGAATTTAAAATTGCTAATGAGTGTATTTTGGTCTAAATTACAGTAAAATGGACATTGAACAAAATTTGAATATTTTTGTAAATGACCGTGCAAAAGTGGACATTTTTTGCAATTTTCTCAAAAATTATTTATGTTTTTCCGTTATTTGAGGTCATTACACGTCATTGTGTTTGTTAGAAAAAAACGCATTTTATGATATTGATAATAAAGTTATTAATTGTTATACGATGTTTTTATAGTATAACTCATAGATAACAATTTTAAATAATTAATAAATTTTTTATGTTATTAAATTTTGTGTTCAAAAAATTAAAAAATCATAATTAAATTTTACTCTCATCGCAAAAAGGCTTGAGCGAACCCACTTATGGCGTGGGTAAAGCGAGTTCTGTGCGCCCAACCGTCCACATTTCTCGGAGACTCGTTTCAGCCTACAAGCCCGTCCCAAAGAGGATGGGATTCAGACGAGCTAGTGGTCGAATTCATTACTGTTTTAAATTATTTTCTATTTAATTTTCATTCATTTTCTATGCAGGCCATATCCGAGCTCGCATGCATGCCTTCACAATTAGCCAGATCTGATGCCAACCAACTCAACACCAAGCTTTCCCGAGTAGTTTTAGATGGTATAGAGCACATCTGGATCGAAATCTCGTCACCACCCATTTAAATAAATTGTGCACATGTTAAGTTGCAATTGAAAAAAATAAATCTCACCATCATGTGAGAGGACAAGTTAAAGATGAAATTAAAATGATATACATGTAACATTATTTAACAACTTAAGTTTTTAAATCAAATAGTTCAACAAGCCCATTATGAGTCTTCTTTTCCCTGGCGGAGATAGGCATCCTGGATTTGAGCCAAATACCTCGTCCTTGAAGTAAATCATCGCTACTTAGACACCATTACATTTTCTCCCAAGTGTTGTATGGCTATTGGCTACCCTAGTTCCTTCATATAATGAAAATTTTGTATATAAATTTTATTTAAGCCCTAAGCATGGGGCAGTTTCTTCGCCATAGGTTATTTAGATTATATATGTAATTTTATCCTCGAAAGAAAGCGCAGTCCACGAGCAAAATTTTTCGATCAGTTTGGACAGAATCCATCCAAAAGGACCAATTGTGTCAAGAATGTAAAGGTTTTAAACCAGAGACAAGACTTAAAAGTTTCAAACCAAAAATACAAGATGGGCACAGGTTTGGGACCAGCTGCGCCAATTTTCCCATCCTAATACTAAATGCCATTTGGATCTTGGCACTTTTGTAGGATTACACAGACTTAATGAGATGAATGCATGTAAAAACTAAAAAGTAAAAAATCAATCATGGTCATTGTATCTTTTCGTTTTTATGATATTCAACATTTTCAGAAAAGAAAAGGTTATAAAAACCAGTTTTCATCAAATTTACCTCTTTTTTCACGAAATATCATTTTTGGTCCATATAGATCTCTCAGTTGATATTGCACCCTCTAAAACCTTAAAACCATCTTCTTCATCATTTGTACGAATATATATCAGTACATACATTCTCTCATTTCAAGAACATTCATTGGTTGGAGTCAAGACTATGGTCCGACAAATAATCACATTTAACAGACATTCAATTTCACATTTCCACGACATTGATGCACTAGATTACTTCTCCAATGAGAATCATGTATAACAGATGGATAGTCAAAGAGGAGTACAGGTAGACATGTCACAAGAGAGATGAAATATTTTCTACTACACATCCATAAATAAATTGCAAGCAGCAAAAACGACAACATTTGGGAGTCACATTGCTATTATTTCACCATTTTAAAGTAATTTACCAAAAATACCTGAGTGATGACTGTATCAGAACAAGGCTTAGAAAAGGAAGTAATTACGTGAAAGTGGAACTGTAGAAGCCGCTGGGCAGGTAAGAACCTCTCCATCTGCAATCACTGTGTACGTCTCTGGATCCACTGTGATTTTGGGAAGGGCATCATTGAGTTTCATGTCGAGCTTTGAGAGCTTCCTCACATTGCTTACAGCTTCCACTCTCTTGTTGAGTCCATAAAGTTCTTTCACCCCAGAATCCAGAGCTGCCTGTGAAATAAAAACGTGTAAAAGAATGCAAGGAAGAAAAACAAAGCTCAAGTTATCCAAGTGATTAATCTTCGAGTCTCTGTGCATGTGTGTGTCTGAGTGTGCGCGTGGGAGAGAGGATAAGGTCACCTTGCTAACAAAAGCGATTGAATTAGAACTCCCAGCCTTGCCAAATGCTCCAAACATAGGCCTCATCACCACCTGTTACAATTTGTCCTGTACTCATTAAATGTAGACGAATATTTTGAAGAATAATGCTATTCATTCTTAGTAGAGATTATTATAGATCTAGGTGGCAGTAGACTCCTTAATTCACTGTTCAATGCATTAAAATGCATTACAACTCTATTGAACAGTGAATCAGAGGTCGACTCCACCTAGACTCGTGATCACCTCTCCTAATGATGAATAGCATTACTCTATTTTAAATTGTCAAGTCTAATGGGAAGACTGGAACCCATCCCAACAAGCAAGTTTACAATTTTCTAAGTTCTTTACCGCATTTCTGTGGTCATAAATCAACGTTCTTATGGGATATTCAAGGTTATAACTTCAAGAAAAACAAGTTCTAAATTTTAACCATCAACAGAAAGCACCTCCAGCCTCAACTTTAAAAACTCCCAATGATTTCTAACACAAAAAATTTGATTTTAGAGTTCATTGGCACTGGTGATACTTTAATCGGCAAAACTATAGAATCAAAAGAATATGAGACTGCTCATAAATCTCCTGAGAACATCGTAAATAATATCAACATTACAGGCTCGGGAGTCGGGATGCTAGCATTTGGATCGCCCATATTAGACCATGCTATTGTTCCACCCTTGATCACCATTTCTGGTTTAGCCCCAAAAAATGACGGTTTCCACATAACAAGATCAGCCAACTTGCCCACCTAAAGCAAAGTAATATACACAACTTTCAGGTGTAGTTAATTTGCTGTGAATACATAAAAATATCTACTTTCACCACGGACAAGTTCAGAATTAGGATAATGTAACTTTAGTTCCTAACACGATAAAAAAATCAATGATAACAAAATCAAAGTATAGTTATTGTACCTCAACTGATCCAACATACTGAGAAAACCCATTAGCTATTGCAGGATTAATTGTGTACTTTGCAATGTATCTCTTGATCCGCAAATTGTCATTTTCTGCATTGCTTCCATGGGTTCCTCTGAATAGCTTCATCTTATGGGCAGTCTGCCAAGTTCTTGTAATCACCTGTCAAGAGAATTGCTCACGTAGGTGGAAGTGAGTATCGAATGAAGAACACTATATACCACATTCATTCCTCAGAATGCCGGGAATTGATAATCAAGACTTGTTAATTCGTGCACAGATATTGGTCATTGGTTGACTCCGAACAATACCAAATAATTGACGAAAATTGAGAGAACTCTCAATATAAATTTTATTCAATTAATCAAAGGCCACATAACAATGACCATAACCTTGGCTTTTAAAGAAAACCCTCCAAAATATGAGTTAAATAAAATTGAAAAAAAAAAGCCCTAACTTTTAAAAACAAAACATGACTAAAGTCTAATTAAAACAAATCATAATTAAATAAATGGTGAATCATCTATCATATGTCCATTTAGCCAAGTCCACTTGCATCAATTGCACTGTCAGTATTGCTTTTCAACTTAGCACAATACATGTAAAAAAAGTTTGACAAGAGTAAGCATCGAGTGAGAAGCATGCATCTAAATTCAGAAGATGGTAGAGAAATGTGAGTAGAAAGAACCTCAGCAATGCGTCCCATAGCCTGTGAATCAGAAGCTATGATACTTATTGCCCCCATATCATGCAAAATGTCTTCTGCTGCTATTGTTTCAGCCCGAATCCGTGACTCGGCAAAAGCTACATCCTCTTTAATGTCCTTGTCAAGGTGATGGCAGACCATCTGCATGCATTTTAAATATTGTGAAAACAGATTTCTTATCTTCTCGTCGCTTTTCACGTACTGTACATTTAGGATAATAAATTAATACTATAGCATCCTCTCTTACAAGCATGTCAAGGTGCTCATCTACAGTATTTATAGTGTAAGGACGCGTTGGATTAGTTGAAGATGGGAGGACATTCTTTACACCGCAAACTTTAATAATATCTGGAGCATGACCACCACCTGCACCTTCACTGCAAAAATTACATAAGTGCATGCAAGAATATTTGACGTGATGTTCTTCCCATTGTACATAATTGGGGACCCAGATAGCAGAGGCTATACCTGTGATAAGTATGAATCGTTCTATCTTTAAATGAGGCAATTGTATGCTCCACAAATCCAGATTCATTCAAGGTATCTGTATGGATATTAACCTAAAAAAATATAATGCAATTTGTAATCAGTGAATAAAATCTTAAAACACATTAAGGGACTTAATTTGTTGGAACAGAGAAAAAGTAATACTTGAATGTCATATTCTTCAGCAACAGTCAAACAATTGTCTATTGCAGCTGGAGTAGTTCCCCAGTCCTCATGAAGCTTCAGCCCCATTGCTCCGGCCTTGATTATTTCATGCAGGCCATCTGCTTTGGCAGTATTCCCCTACAATAAAAGAATGTGTTACTAGAACACAGAGTATACATCCCCATCCCCCAACATGGCACCACACCTTATGACACATCATTTGCACTTTTTTAAAGTTTTCATGTAGGGCAGCAAAACATCCCAGGCCAAGATCAAGAAATATCGTCAATAGTGTGTGCAGTTAGTAAAACTTTGTAAAATGCTCCAAGAAGTAGAAGGGGAAAAGCATGTCCACACAGAATGAGGCAAACTTTTCCTGTGAAACCGAAATCAAGGGGCATTTCCTCTGTAGCACTTTTATTGAGTCTTCATGTAGAGCAGCAAAAAATTCAATAATTCTCACAACAGTTAGCCGATCGGGAACATAAGGACATTTAGGGTTGGCTAATAAGATAGAAAGGTCCAAGGGCGAGATCAAAATATCTTGTGCATTAAGTAAAACATTGTCAAATGCTCCAAGTAGAAGGGAAAATGCAAGTTCGCACAGAATGAGGCATACTTTTCCTGTGAAACCGAAATTGAGGGGCATTTCATCTGTTGATTGCAACATTAGTTTCATGTGCTGTGGTGCAGGAGTACAAGTAGTTGCACGTGTCCCATCTGCAGGTCCAGTGCCACCTCCCACCAATGTAGTGATGCCTACACGTGATACATAAAAGGAAAGAAACAAAAAGAGAACGATGTTCACTAATTTTTTCTCAAGTATAGAGCAGAAAAGTTGAATTTCCTTGCAGTGAAGTTGTGACTTCTCCATAAAATTATAGGCATGACAATTCATAGAAGCTTTAATGTAGATAATAATTAGAAGATCCAAAAGGAACCGTAAGTGCTTAGACCGACAAGAAATTAACTAACATGAGCACATTATCCTGTGTGCTAGCAACAAAATTCCACCATTAATCAAGAAATCTCACCACTTGATATTGCCTCGCGTGCTAATTGAGGACATATAAAATGCACATGACAATCTATGGCTCCTGCTGTTACAATCATCCCTTCTCCAGCAATAACCTCAGTATTTACCTGACCACAAAGATCAACCAAATAAATGAGTGTTAAATTCAAAAGTTTTTGTACCTGTAACACAACAACCATTATGATATACTGGACTCACTCCAACAATCAAGTCGTATACTACTCCATCCATCACATCTGGGTTGCCAGCTTTTCCAAAGGCCGTAATAAGACCATTTTTTATGCCAATATCTGCTTTAAATATTCCAGTATAGTCAATGATAACAGCATTTGTTATGATGGTGTCCAAACAGTCACATGATGGATATGCACAACACTGTCCCGATCCATCTCTTAGTACTTTTCCACCACCAAATACACACTCATCCCCATAAACAGCAAAATCTCTTTCAATTTCTGCTAATAAATCTGTGTCCCCAAGACGAATTTTGTCACCAGTGGAGGGGCCATACATATTAGCATAGGTTTCATGAGATAGCACATAAGATAAAGCAGACCCTTCTTCAATGACACCTTCTCTGCAACTGAAAAATCAGTTCGAAATTTAGCATCTGCCATATTCATAACCAAAATAAAAGTGTGTAAAACTTAGGCAAATTCATGAAAAGCCAAACATAGCGTTCTGCTCTCTACTAAAAAGAGAAAAATAAAAGCTTCCTAACCTTGTATTTTCCTCAGCAACACCAAATCCCCCTTTATGTACAGCTTCCATCACTGATGTGATTTTAGCATCATCTACTGAGCCATCAACAATTCCATTTCCTCCCCGAATAACCTGTTTGCCTCCAATCCTGACAAGAGTAACACTTTTTGCTTCCCCTGGCTACCAGAGTAGGATAAATATCAATAAAGTCGTGATTTTTTTTTCTACGATATTTGTATCTGTACGGTCTGAGGATATATCATAGCTCTTAGCAAGTCAAAAAGCAAAGTATTTCAGAGAAGGGCACTGATTAGACAAGCTAAAAGAATAGTACCTCATTTATTCACCCCAATCTTAACAAAGGTTGTTAAGAAGATCCGACTTAGAAAATAAACTTTCCAAAAATTGATTTTATATCAGCAAGTTACAGAAGAGCTCAGGCTTGAATAAGAAAATTCCAACTTAAGTCAAGTGGATCTAGAGTCGCATCAATTAGCCAAAAAAAAAATGGCATAAATTTAGATTGACAGGTCTAGAAGCTCAAATAGAGTTTGTAATAGGATGGAGCAAATTCTGAACAAGTTGTGCTCATGTGAATCATGTCTCGCATCAAATATCTATTTCTTGCAGTATAAATTGATCATTACTATATGGGTATCGAAGTGGACAAATCAACTAGCCAACATATTGGAAGATATTATGTGTTAAACAAGCTTTTAGCAAGCAAATTAGATCTACGGTAAAGTAGCTCGATACCGAAGATTATAATTTGGGGAATGATATCTTAGCTAAGCATGTAGTCCTTTGCATGTTAAATGAGCCAAAGTTATATTACAGAAGAATAAATGCGTGCAAGAATTAAAGATTAAACTCCATCTTAATTCACCAATATTTGATATACGAGGGAAGGAAAAAAAAGAGAGAGAGAACAACTGGGTCATTGTGAAGTAAACAGGGTCACAGCATTAACCTCAAAGCGTGTTGCCGTCCCTGCCGGGATATTTAGCCGCGTGCCATATGCTCTCCTTCTGTCAAAAACCAAGAATGGGTTCACCTCAATAAAGGGATAGTGGCTCCCAACCTGAATATGAAAAATTCACCAATATCATTCATAACATTTTTCGATGCTTAGATCAGATTATTATAGCTGATATTTAGCTGTGTGTCATCATCTATCTTAACCTGAAATAGTGCACAAAAACCTCTTTGGAAGAGAAAGGTGCAAAAACCTTGAAGAAAACAAGTTTTCGGTCCTTTTACAAGAAGAGCATCACAGTTATGAGACTTGTCAAGTTCCTCTAATATAAATCCATGGGAAATTTTAGCTTTAATTCAAGTACCTGAATCGGCCTGTCACCCGTGTTAGCTACTTTCAGAATTATTGCTTTCCTTCCATAGTTAAGTGTAATATGTCCACTTCGACATATTATTTCACCAGGAACTTTACTGTCTTCAACTGTGGGAAACTTGTCTAATGAAGGAACTGCAAGCCAAAAACACTCTGACCTTTAGAAGGAACCACGTCATACAAACTTATTATTTTCAGATTTACACAGGCAAAAAATTAAGCTTGTAAAGCAAATTATCGTGATAAATGTGAGAAGTAAATTGAGCTTTTCACATGCATGGTCAAGAATATAAAATGTTGAGAGCAATAATTAAGCCATTTTTGTAGAATAGACTACAAATAAAGTTTGATTTAGATGATGGAACAGAATGTTTCATGATAAGTTTCTAAAGGATAGGTTTGCCACAAAGTTCAAATTATGTTCATTACGTATGATCATACACTAACCGCGTGTCCTACTAGAACATGTTCGGCAAAAATTATAGTCTCTTTATAATTTTAAGTCAAAGTCAAACTTTAATTTTAACCACACATTCACAATTATTACCCACTTATTATCCACACATTTCTTGGGACCCATTATTCCTCTTCATTATAATCCCAATATAATTTCTCCCAAACAAGCACTAAGATTCAAGAACCCCAAAACTGGAGAAGTTCTAAGAGATAAATAATTGTAACCAATTGTTAAAGAGAAAAAAATTCCACATCGAATAAAGATGAAAATATAGACCAACTTATAAGGGTTTGGACTACTCCTCTTAATAATGTTGACATTTTAAGATAGAGCCCCAAATTTTAATATAGCATCAGAGCCCATTAAGTTTCAACGAGTAATTCCGATCAAAAAATGAGCACGTGAATTTCAAGATTGGTTTGCTCAAATGAAGCACCATCTTGTGGGGCATGTCAAGGGATAAAAAATGAAAACATAGACCAACTAATAAGGATTTGGATGGCTCCTCTCAACAAGTTTGACCTTTTAAGATTGATCCCATATCTTAATACCAACAACATAGGAAATGTAAATATACCTATCTGGTTATGTGGTTATTTTGAGGCCAAATTTCTTTTGAAAAATTAAATAGCTAACAGGTTAACAATTTAGATCAGTCTTCATATTCAAGTAAATCATAAGCTGCTCCCTTCACTTATCCAATTTTTCTATGTGGAAAGTTGTTGACTTGAAGTAAAGCTTGGGAGGCAGAATGTGAAACTAAGGCATCGTTTGGTAACCATTATNCAAAAACACTCTGACCTTTAGAAGGCACCACGTCATACAAACTTATTATTTTCAGATTTGCACAGGCAAAAAATTAAGCTTGTAAAGCAAATTATCGTGATAAATGTGAGAAGTAAATTGAGCTTTTCACATGCATGGTCAAGAATATAAAATGTTGAGAGCAATAATTAAGCCATTTTCGTAGAATAGACTACAAATAAAGTTTGATTTAGATGATGGAACAGAATGTCATGATAAGTTTCTAAAGGATAGGTTTGCCACAAAGTTCAAATTATGTTCATTACGTATAATCATACACTAACCGCGTGTCCTACTAGAGCATGTTCGGCAAAAATTATAGTCTCTTTATAATTTTAAGTCAAAGTCAAACTTTAATTTTAACCACACATTCACAATTATTACCCACTTATTATCCACACATTTCTTGGGACCCATTACTCCTCTTCATTATAATCTCATTATAATTTCTCCCTAACAAGCACTAAGATTCAAGAACCCCAAAACTGGAGAAGTTCTAAGAGATAAATAATTGTAACCAATTGTTAAAGAGAAAAAATTCCACATCGAATAAAGTTGAAAATATAGACCAACTTATAAGGGTTTGGACTACTCCTCTTAATAATGTTGACATTTTAAGATAGAACCCCAAATTTTAATATAGTATCAGAGCCCATTAAGTTTCAACGAGTAATTCCGATCAAAAAATGAGCACGTGAATTTCAAGATTGGTTTTCTCAAATGAAGCACAATCTTGTGGGGCATGTCAAGGGATAAAAGATGAAAACATAAACCAACTTATAAGGATTTGGACGGCTCCTCTCAACAAGTTTAACCTTTTAAGATTGACCCCATATCTTAATACCAACAACATAGGAAATGTAAATATACCTATCTGGTTATGTGGTTATTTTGAGGCCAAATTTCTTTTGAAAAACTAAATAGCTGACAGGTTAACAATTTAGATCAGTCTTCATATTCAAGTAAATCATAAGCTGCTCCCTTCACTTATCCAATTTTTCTATGTGGAAAGTTGTTGACTTGAAGTAAAGCTTGGGAGGCAGAATGTGAAACTAAAACAAGAAAGGCTGTGAACATTTTGAGAAGATGTAAGTGGTAAATTGTGGAAGTTATACAACAATATTTGTTGCAAATAATAGAAAGCAAACTCGTGAAGATTTGCAAAGTTATACAAGGTAACCACCTGGGAGAAAAGAACCATGTAAAGCTAGCTCCAGATTTCCATTTTCAAGTGCTATTGGATCATGAACTGTGATTAACTTCGTCCCATCAGGAAAGGTACCTTCGACCTACATGTAAAGTCAGCAGTTAATATAAATTTACATAAACTTTGATTCTCCTCTACAATGTCAAAGGGAGTCAAAATTTCATATGGGTCAATGAGGTTTAGTACCTGGACTGTATACAACAGATGAGGAACAGCTGGAAGAACTTGTCTCCTGTAAACAGAGAAGATATCTCTCAGAATTTGTGATTTCTGCCTAGGAGGTATCCAGAGTATTATTAATTAATTACAATCCAAAAAGAATTATGAATGACCAATTATATTGTCATGTATATTTCCTCATCATGATTTTCAGAATGTTCGCTCCTCTTTATCAGAACAACTTATGGCCGAAGAGACAGGATTCAAAGCCTTAGTCCTGCTTTGCCCAACAATGACACTGTGTGCTGCTACGTGCTACCTTTCATGCAGGGACTTCTTCACCCACTGCTCATCCTGCCAAACCACGCTTTTATACTTACTGCACGAGCTTTGACCATTAGTTATCATTTATTAGCACATAACTTCAGGAAACATTTTACAGACCATCGCTTTACACCTCCTAGTACTTTAAGTATCCACAAAATAAATTTGAGAGGCAACTTCCAAATGCCAAAAACGCCTCCAATGTATCTATTTTTCTAAAATGAACCTTATATTTGCTTCATTTATTAAATTCTAACAAGGGTGGCAGAAATAAGTTATCTCCACTAACTGTTGCCTTCTATTCTCCCTTTCTAGGAAACTCGATTCTTCCCTTCACCCAAATGAATTAAATGAATTTTCACTTTCTTCAATTTATTCATCTATTTATCAAAGCGTTTCATATCAGAACTCTTGTTTGCATGGAAAAGACTAATAGCATTATCAAAATTCAAATCCACTTAATCACCGTAGTATCTGCACTACAAAAATAAAGAAAGCAAAGCTAAATAGAATCTGATACTACCTTCCCAGAAACTGCCTGCCAAGGTCCATCAACTCAGCCGCGCTATTGTTACCATCGCGTACGAACTCCAAAATCTGTTCAATAGTCCCGAAAAGATAGTGCATTAAACCAACACAGTTTCTAATACAAAACTGAAATTAATGCAGCTCAACAAATGCAAACAAGGTACAGTTCTATCCTCACTAAGGCATGGTTAGCTAAGCGTAAGACAAGTAAAAGTCACTTTTGGAATATTTTTTTGGAGAGATTTTTTAAAAATATTTTTCTCCAAAATCATTTCCAACCGCACATTCTATGAACTCATAACTTTTCCTTACTTTTTAATCACACTTAAAAAATCATTTTTCACTTGAAAAATCTTTCCCAAACAAATGCTTAATTAAATTTTTTATTTCGAAATATAATTGGATATGCAACAATTTTCTTACTTCTGAGGAAAAAAGGAGACTAGTTGAAAGTAACTGTTACCATACTATTATTCCAACCATGACCGGTGAAAAAAAATATCTATTTTAAAACTTACTAATAACAATGAATACGAAAAACACATTCGTTCAATCACTTCAATGTCACGTCCGGTTTGAGTAATTAACATAAACATAATTTTTCTAAATAGCAAATAAACTTCTAAAAAATTGAAATAAAATCCCCAAAATTCAGAGAATACGAATACCTGAGTAGCTATAAGAGCAACAGCTTCAGTGTAATTGAGCCTTATGCCACGAACCAAACGCTTCTGCGCAAGGTATCCAGCATTATGGAGCATCAATTTTTCAATTTCTCTTGGTGCCAACTTCATTTTTCCCTTTT